AATTGATTTTCTGTAATACTAATTTTCTTGGATGGACGTACTAGGGATCATATGAGCTTGCAACAAACAGGGTTTAGTTTGGTGAATGTAGGATATGCTTTTATAATTTGAATAGACTGGTTGTTTCTGATGTTACCTTCATCCTATCAGTATTTGTAACCGACTTATTGATTTCAAGTTTTAAACTGGAGTGGCCTGGATTGTCCTGACCTTAAAACAATGTACATAAAATCTTCTTCTTAGTGCTTCTTCAAGTTTTAAGTACTGTGCATAAGCATTGGGTACAAATTCTTCTATTTATGCTTATTTTGGTAAATCTGATTACAGTTTATGTTCTGATGCATGCATGCAGACCAGTGAAGACTAACAATGAACTCTCTCATCAATTCGAATTTAACTCATTCAAGCTTGAAATTTATGTTATAAGCAGGAATATATTTTTAAAAGAGAATCTAGTAAAGTTTACTAGAGTCTCTTACTCTGGTGGTATCTTAAGTTAGGGATAATTTTCTGGGTAGTAATTTGCCATCTCATGTATAGTTGGATCCATCATTATAGCTCAACACCTGTTTCTCTGCTAATGTCTTTGCTAAAACGTGATTTTTGGATTCCATGGTTAATGGTGATTGGATATTAAATTAAATGGGAAAGTGAATTAATGTTGCATTTTGAATGGGTGTTATTATTTCATATTAGTGCTATTTTTCAGTTTTATTACAGGTATTTTTTTAGTTTAGTCACATAGAATTAGCACAATTAAAAAGAAAAGAAAAGAAAAGAAAAGAAAAGGATATCACAGTGTTTCTAAAAATGTCGCTAAATATCATACCAATGGCTGGATGTTTTTAAAAAAGAGATACGACGGCATTTTAAAAACGTCGCTAAAGAGCATGGTGATGCCATGTTACCGTTAGTAGAAATTTTAGCGGCGTTAGTTATAGCGACGGGCGCATCTTCGACGTTTGGTGCTAAACGTCACAAAAGGATTTGACGGCGTTTTTGGGACCTATAGCGGTGTTTCTTAAACGCCACTAAAACCCCTATTTCCAGCAGTGTTATTGCCTTAATTTTTCTACCAAGTTGATTCTCAACCTCATTCTTATATTACATCAATTTTTCTAAGGCTTCATCCTTGCTTCGTAGCAAATATACCTAGCAATACTTAGTGCCATCGTCAATAAAAGTGATAGAATTTTTTTTCCCACCTCAATTTTGAACAAATTTCAAATCATAAATGTTACTATGTATTAAACCTAGTGGCTCGGTATTTCTCTCCACTGATTAAAGTGGCGATTTAGTTAACTTTGCCTCGACACATACTTCACATTTGTGATTTGGATCTATTTGAAACTTAGGCAAATATTTTAAGTTAATTAATCTATGCAAAGTATCATAATTAACATCTCTTAATCTGCCATGCCACATAAATGAAGACTCTTGCAAATAAGTAGAAGATGTGTTAATATTATTAATAGTTGGAACAACAGTCATTACATTCAGTTTGAAGAGTCCATCACACATGTAGCCCTTCCCTACATACATCTCATTCTTTGTCAGTACAAATTTATCAAACTTAAAAACTAGTTTAAAACCATTCTTGCTCAGCAATGATCCTGAAACCAAATTTTTGCGAATTTCTGGCACATACAACACTTCATTGAGAGTCAGCTTCTTTCCTAAGGTCATTTTCAGCACCACCTTTCCTTTTCCTTCAACTTTAGAAGTCGAAGAATTGCCCATGTAAAGTTGTTCTCCATTATCTACTCCTTGATATGATGAGAACAACCTTTTTTATGAACAAATGTGGCAAGTAGCGCCAGTATCCACCCACCATGTTTTGGTATTGCTCACCAAATTGACTTCAAAAACCATTCTAGACAAATTTAAATCCGAAACCATTGCACAAAGACTGTCTTCTTCTATTATGTTAGCCTGAGCTGGTTTTTTCTTCATGTTCCCTCCTTGAGTCTGTCGCTTGCGACAATCCTTGGCACGATGCCCCGGCTTGTCACATATATAGCATTTGCCTTGGAAATTTTGACTGTTGTTGAACCCTTATTTGGAACTTTCTCCAGGATGCTTCATTTTCTTACTGTTGTTCTTTGGTTGCTTTTGTTCCACCACATTTGCTTTAGCCACCATAGGATGATGTCCATTTTTCTTTTCAGCCCCACGGTTGTCTTCCTCAATCCTCAAGCGAACAATCAAATCCTCTAATGACATCTCTTTGCATTTGTGTTTCAAATAATTTTTAAAATCCCTCCAAGAAAATGGTAATTTTTCAATTATCGCTACCACTTGCAAAGATTCACTCAGAGACATTCCTTCTGCATGTATTTCATGCAGAATAAGTTAAAGATCTTGGACTTGATTGATCATTGTCCTGGAATCTATCATCTTATAATCAAGAAAACAACCAATAACAAATTTTTTTGTTCCAGCGTCTTCTGTCTTATATTTACGGTCCAAGGAATCCCACAACTCTTTTGTAGTCTTGATTAGACTATATACATTGTATAATGTGTTATCCAATCCATTCAGTATATAATTCATGCAAAGGAAATCTGCATGTTTCCATGCATCCACTGCAGCAATAACCTGAGCAATGCTTTCATCCTCCTTTAGAGTAGGCGCATTCTCTCTTAAAAATCTTGCCAAATTCAGTGTAGTAAGATAAAACAACATTTTTTGTTACCATCTCTTGAAATCGACACCATTGAATTTTTTAGGTTTCTCTCCATGATTAATTGGAACAGTTCCAGAAATAGGACCATGAGAGACAACTAGTATAGGAGCCACTTTCAGTAGCCATTTCTATTTAACAAATAAATTTATTAAAACAGAAGATATCTCACAATAAATATGTATATGTAACAATGGTAACCAAAAAAAAAAAAAAACTAGAAAACTAATTTTATTTTATTTTAATTACAGAGTTCAAACTAAACACAAAAATACTTTAAACGTTAATTTACTTGTTTTTTAAACCTTCCTTCCAAAGAACCCATGAAAACAGTAACCAAATAAATAAAAACCAAACAGATACTGTGATCGAATAAAATTGTAAGTTACAAAATACAACAAACAAAAATAATAAAAACAAACAATCCAGAACAAGTTTCCACCACCTAAGGACACCAAATAAAAAAATTTGATGAACACCAAACAAATACTATGTTTGATAAAAGGAAACCAGAACTAGATATTTAGACAAAACATAGATTTACAACTCAAAGATGTATCAATTATGTATTAATTAAATCAGAATACTATAAAATTTTATTTTCTTTTAAACTAGAAGCAAACTGAACTATATGTGATACAAGAAAAACACAGAATGAAATTATGTATTGGGAAAACAGTCACAAAAGAATTAATTTAGCCAGGAAAAAGGAATTTATGTCTTAAAATTGTCGAAAATAATTTCCTAGTAAATTAATTTATTAATTTAAATATCAAAACGAAATTCAATATTCAATAAAAAAACATAACCAAGTAACAGAAGATACTTACAAATACTGTGAACCAAAACCAAAATAATTAACAGAGGTGTGATTGAGGCCAGTGTTTGGACACTGTGTCTTTAAGACATAAATTCACCTTCTCTACTAGTGCTTGAGATTTATAAACGTCCTGTCTTTAGGGTACAACAATCACCTACACATAGAAGTAGCACTACAATCTATGTGTACTGCGAACCAAATTTGTGTTAAGCACTCTCTTAACAAAACCAATAAAAATGAAGATGAAGATGATTATGAACACTACCACAAGAAGACGAAAAAGCTAGGATCCAATCTATCTTTTTCTAATCCTAAAATGAGAGATTGTTTTGCCATTAAATACGCAATAATCGTAGCAAGGAATAGTCACCTATGTGGCTGTTTGGTCAAGAAAGGTGACCGTTGCAGACCAAAGTTTGAAAACTGAAATCCGGATTTTTATTTATTTATTTATTTATTTTCAAATGATGGTTTCTCCAAAAATTGTAAGTGCCAAGCCAAGCCAAGCCAACCCAACCCAACCCACACCCGCACGTGTGTGTTTTGGATTAAGCCTACCTCGGTCCATAACTTCCCTCCTTACAAAATTTATATTCATGAGTCGATTTCTCATTCACTCATTAATGGTTTTAGCAACCATAAGACATTCGCTAGTTCACCATGTAACAAGAAACAAATTGCTACGTTGACCCACCTAAATAATGGATGGGTCCTACATTATTAATGTTTTAAAACCATTTTTCTCCAACAGGATAACCATATAGTTTGCTATATGCTTTATGAGAAATTTCACCTATTACTATTTCTCATCACGCTACAAAAAGATGGACCTTTTGCTATGAAAACTTACAGTTGCAAAAAGTAGAAATGGCATTGCAAAAAGTATTAGCGACAACATGGCAACAACAATCATAGTGGGGCAAAATGGGGTGTGGCAAAACGTGACTTATTGTCACAAATGGACTTTTTGCCGTCACTAAAGATGTATTATTTGCAACAGCTAGTTATTGTCGCAAAAAGGGAAATCTCACTTTTTAGCAATGGCACTACTTGCTGTCGCAAGTAATAAACTTTAGCAACAGTCTACACCGTCACAAAATTGTTATAATCTTCTAATAAAATCTTTTGTGACAGCCAATGGGCGTCCTAGATATCCCCTTTTTTTTAAAAAAAAAAAAAAAAAAAAAAGTGACAAAAAAAAACTTATATAAATGATATTTTCTTTTTCATAATACCATCCATGCATTCACAATCAAATGTATTTTTTTTTTCTTTTTTTTTTTAAAAAAAAAGCAAACAAAATAGATTAATATTATCCACAACCAAGCCAAGTAATAGATTATTTAAGCTTGAATATAATTTTAACAAGTTTTCAAATGTTTTTAAATTTGGTTGTTTAATTTGCAAGCTGATCTTATACAAGTTTTGGTCAAGCTAATAAAGTTGAGTTTAACAAGTTGATTTTTATTAGTATATAAACTGACAACCAAGTAATAGTTTGTTCAATCTTGACATAATAGCTTAATAAACTTTAATGTGTTAAAGTTTAACTTGCTTACATAATAATTTAATCTTGAACATGCTCTTATTGAGCCGATAATGAAAAGTATGATTTGCTTTACAACTCTATGCTTATGCAACAATCAATAATCAAAAGACTGACTAAACACTAGACAACAAACTATTATCCTCACTTCAAAAAATCGTCCCTTTATTAGAATTATCAAGGGAATCGGAAGCATAGTTGTACTTGCTCCCAACATTACAAGGTCCAAATCCTAATTGATGGTTGCAATCGAGCAGGATTCGCAAGACCTCCCTCATGCTAGGCCTATTTGAGGGATGTGGCCAAGTGCAAATGATCCCAAGCTCAAAAACACGAGTCATTTCATCCAAGTAATGAGGTTCTTTAACCTTCTCATCAAGGACATCAACCATGTGGTTTCCTTCTTGATTGTAATATTGAAATGCCCAATCGGCTAGGCACATATCTTCATTTCCATCATTGGCTTTCCTTCCGGTAACTAGTTCCAAAAGAACAACACCGAAGCTGTAGACATCAACCTTCTCATTCACTCTTCTTGTTCGAGCATACTCTGAAATTCAAATATAGTTTAAAACGTGAATGCCAAAAAGTCTTGCATGCAAAATAAATTTTTGAATTTTTTTGGTTGTAGCTTATAAGTTGACTTATTTTTGAATTATTTTTTTGTTTAGTGAACTTTTCTAAAGTTTGAATCATTCTTTTTTTTTTCACATTTTGGGTATGTCTAGACTAAACCATTCTAGAAATTTAAATAAATAAATAAATAAATAGAAAAGCTCATCAAAGACAAATAAACAAAATTTTAATGATTTTTTTCGACAAGATTTAGCTTATATTTTCCTCTTCAATAGACTTTTATCAAAAGTTTTCAACATTTTTTAATAAATTTTTTTACTCTACCTGAGGAGTTCCCACTACGACTTACAACCAAGATTTTTAATTTGTACCTTTTTTTTTTTTTTTTTTTTGGAAAGAAGTCGTTAAAGAGAAAAATAAGATTTTTCTTTCTTTTTTTTTTAAGAAGTAAAAGAATTAACTCAAATTTCTTGTAAATAAATCCATTAAAGAAAAATATGAGGAAAAATAAGTCAACTTATATATGTTACTTACCTGGAGCAAAATAACCAAATGAGCCAACCACGGTTGACATTGTATTATGCTCCACATGCTTTACCAATATCTTGGCTAGACCAAAATCTGCAACTTTAGCATTGAACTCAGAATCCAACAGGATATTGCTTGATTTCACATCTCGGTGAATTACTGAAGGCGTGCAGTCATGGTGCATGTAGCATAGCCCCTTGGCAGCTCCCACTGCGATTTGCAATCGCTTAGGCCAATCTAAAACACCACAATAGACTGAATCCGTTGTGCTTGGCCACATATCTCCATGGATCCACCTATCCAAGCTCTGATTTTCCAAATACTCATAAACAAGAAGCTTTGTAGTCTCACTTGAAATGCAACACAACAATTTCACAATGTTGGAGTGGCGAATTGTCCCCAGTATCTGAATTTCTGCCAGGAATTCCTTCTCAAGCTTTTGATCCAACTTCTTGATATTTTGGATTTGTTTGACTGCTACAACTTTGCCTAAGCAGTTCAATTTAATACGATATACCTTCCCTGACCCACCACATCCGATCACATTGTTTTCAATTAAATTAGATAAAATTTCTGACTCTTTGAAACTCAATTCCTCAATTGTGTGGAAGCGAGTAAACTCGCACTTGGAATTCAATTTGTGCACTCTTTTCTGGTAAGCTTTTTTGATCTGGAAAAGTGTGAATATAATAGCTGATGAAACTAAGATTGTCATTACGACTACTATTATAGCAATAAGCCATGGGGATATGTTGCTTGAGGTTTTAAATCCAGAATAGCAGATATCAAGGGCGAGTGATGGATTACTAGCGCAAAGACCGGGATTGTTCAAGAAACTGGTATTGAAAAATGTGTTTTCAAACTCATTTGGGATTCTCCCGGTGAGACAATTGGAAGACAGGTTGAGAAAAGTTAGCCTTAAAAGGCCAATGTCAGTTGGAATTTGACCTGAGAACTGATTACTTGACAAGTCCAAATCAGTGAGGCTTGTTAAAGAACCAAGTTTATCAGGAATTGGACCGGAGAGCTGGTTTCGACTGAGATTTAGAAGTGTTAATGACTTCCAAGAGACAATATCTGATGGAAGATGGCCAGAAAATTGATTCCCATCGAGCACAAGTGTTGACAGGAGAGGAAGAGAGGTCAATTCTTGAGGAATTGTACCACTAAAGAAGTTGTTACTTGCGCTGAACACGGTTAAATGTTTCCAAGATGACAACCCAGATGGGATTTCACCTGAAAACTTGTTGTTACTGATCTCAAGTCGCGATAAATTTGGTGCCAGTGTTCTTGGAAGCTGACCGGTAAATGAGTTGTCGCTTAGCATCAACATTGTCAGATTGGATGATGTCCAGAGACCTGCTGGAATGCTACCGGAAAGGCAATTACCATGAACCCGAACAATCAACAAACTTGAACAATTCCCAAGTGAATTAGGCAATTCACCGGTGAGACTGTTATCAAATGCCACCACTCCTAATAGTTCACCATTAGCACACAAGTGCTCTGGCAACTTGCCAGTGAAATGGTTCGAAGGTATTTCAAACCGCTGGAGCTTCGAATATCGCCCAAATTCAGGTGGCAACGTTCCCGAGAGATTGTTGGTAAACAACTTTACATCTCTCAGTGATGGAAGGCGGCCAATGCTTTCTGGTATTTCACCGGAGAGTTGATTGTCAAACAGAGCCAAACCCGACAACATTGTTAGTTTGCCAAAATCAGCCGGTATTGTTCCAGTCAAGTTGTTTTGGGATAAATCAATTATCTCCATCATCAAAGCTTCAATGGGCCAAGGAATCGCCCCGGACAAGTGATTTTTGTAGAGATACAACTTTGTTAAATTCTTTAGCAGAAACAAACCACTTGGGATTGTACCAGTCAAATTATTGTTTGACAAGTCCAATTCCTCGAGCTCTGTTAAATTCCCGATTGTTACCGGGATTTCACCGGTCAAACTTGAATCTTTGATCCATAGTTGTTTAAGTTTCCTCAACTGGGTAAAGCTCGACGGTATTGCCATCAGGAGAAATGCATTGTCAGACAGCTCCAACATCTCAAGATTTGACAGGTTTCCAATTTCTGGCGGGAAAGAGCCGTTTAGCTCATTTTGAAAAAGCCGAAGGACTCTGAGCTCGTGGAACCGCCCGATAGCCAGTGGGATGTCGCCGGTGAAGTTGTTGCCGTTGAGGTTGAGGACCCGGAGCCTGGTCGACAGCCGGTCAACGTCGCCAGGAATGCGGCCTACAAAGAAGTTTAGGGAGAGGTCTAAATGTTTCAGCTTGGAACAGTTGTAGAGAACCGTAGGAAATGGTCCTGGGATGTAATTGTACTGGAAATCGATGACGGTGAGGTTTTTGAGGTCACAAATGAACTGTGGGATTGTCACGGCAATGGTTTTGTTAGGGAGAGAGAGTCCGGTGACAGAGCCGTTGGTGCAGGTGATCTCGGGCCAGTTACAGTGTGTCGATGAGTTGGAGTTGGGAAATTTTGGTGGAGTCCAGTGGCTGATGGAAGGTGGATTGCACCAGTGTTGTTTGAGTCTCAACAGAATTATTTGTTCTGAATCAGTAGTAGTAGATTGGGTGTTTCCGTGGAAGGGTAGGGTGAGGAGTAGGAGGAAGAATATGGAGAAAAGGATTTGAAGGGAAGTTGTTGGGGTTATTTTGGACATTTTAGTGGTTGGTTTCGCGGGGGTTTTTGGGTGGTACATAGTTTGGGAAGTTCAGGTTTGGAGGGATGGTGAGAGGGTCGTGTTCGGCAGGCAGATGTTTCGAAAATTTCAAGCTGGTGGCTGGGTTTTATAATGTGAAGAGTCCAAGTTTCCTCAATCCTCAATCAATGGTTAAAGAGGGAAAGAAACTTGCACTCCGAACAGCCAACAACCAACTAATTTATTTTTTTATTTTATTTTTTATTTTTTATGATCCAGGGTCCAAGTTAGTTTGCACCCATTTTGACTAATCACAGGATCTATGAAAAATGCCTCTCCATATGAATCAGACAAATTTTGAGCAGAGCCTAATTTCGGGCAGAGTCTGCAGACATGACCCAAAAAATAAATCCCTCCTAATAAAAGTTGAACGTGAGACCTTGATTAGCTTTTACATTTTAGTAGTTTTTTGGGATGTGCTATATAAGTGTACTTTTTGACTTTGTAGTTAAAAAAATAGAAAAAAATATATGTTTGGAATAACCTTTTGACTTTTTACGAAAAGATAAGTAATAAAATATTGTAATAAAATCAAAATGACAATTTTACTCTTTTAACTTTTTGACTTTTTGGGTTAATTCAAAGGGAAAAATAATAATTTTGTCATTGTAACTCTCCTCACAAGCTACCCTTGAATAGTATAGATTTTTTAACGTTTTTTGAAATTTTTTAACTTTTTAACTTTTTTTAATTTATGCCAAACAAGACTTTAATTGTCAAAATACACACTTTCTTTTTTTCTCTTCCTTTTTCCTGGGAGTCCTTTTTAACGAATGATTTTATAATTAATTATAATATTTTTTACTAGCATCTCATTGCATTTCGTCGAGGAGATTAACTTCGGTCTAGATATGGATTGGAAAGGTATTATTCGAATACATGAAATTCATTATGAATTTTTTTTTGATAATTTGAATAATTTTTTAAAATTATTTGTGTATATATTATTTATAAAAAAAAAAAAATTGATCAATTAAATAATTATAACATACTTATTTTATTTCGTTTGCCTTTAAAAAATGACTAATCTACTTTAAAAATCCATTTGCCACTCATTTTTTTTTAATTTTTTTTATAAACAAACATAGTAAATAAAAATGCTAAAATTATCAGATCGATATATTTATTTTATAAATAATATATAACCAAAAAAATCTTAAATAATGAATAATTTAAATTATCAAAATGGGTCTAGACAACGTCCAAATCTTGACTAGAAAGGGTCCCATCCATTCTATCAATAATAACATAGATGAATTGTAAAACCCATCAGATTGTTGTGTTGTTGATAAATAAATAGGATAAATTACATTTTTAAGTTTTTGTTGTTTTAAATTAAATAATTAAAATACATAAACTTTAAGTCTTATTTTAATTTGGTTATTTCATTTAAAGTAGTGGTTAAATTTAACATTTTTGTGGTAATTGTCAATCTCCAAACCCGTACATATAGAAAAATTAACTATAAAGAAAAATTAACTGTAATAAAAAATAATAATAAAATTAAAATTGGACTTAAAATGTAAGGGATCAAATTGTTCAATTTAAAACAATAGAGATCCAAGTGAAATTTGAGCCAAAATATAAGTTTGAAAATTATAATTTACCCAATAAAATTTGATAATATATATATATATATATTTTAGGGAAAATTAGAAAAAAATTCCTCTCCAACTTTGTGTAGTAGGAGAGGTTCAAAGTGTTTTTATTTATTAGCTAAGGTCTCTCAATATTTTCACAGAGAAAATTCAACTTTAGAGAAATTTTGCCAGACTAAGACAAATGTCATCCAAATAAGAAAATTTTTGAAATTTTGTAGTATGATCATAGAGAAATTTCAAAAATAGAGAAATTTCAAAATTTTTCTATGAAATCAGAAAAATTTCTCTGTGAAAATTGAAATGAAATTTCTCTGAGTCGAAGCGAAATTTCTTTGAGTCAGGAAAAATTTCTCCAAGTCAAATTTTCTCTATAGAAATGTTGAGGGACCTTAACTATTTCGAAACTATTATATGTCCTTTATTTTATAAAATCTTAATATCAGAGACTTTAAAAATAATTCCTCTATACTTTATCGTATTATTATTATTACAGTGACAATATTATGATAATATTCTTTAACATATTTTGTTTACTGTGGAGAAGTGGTTCGAAAATACTTTTTGGATCCTGTAGGACGCTCGTGAACCTCAGTTAGCCACTTGAAAAGAAATGAACATTCCGGTCGGGGATACCGGTATTAGCACTCCGATGGATAAATCAATGTATACTCTCTTGGTTGCTTGTAAGTTAAGTTTTTTAAGTTTTTTCTCACCTCTCCCTTTTTGGTTGTTGTTCTTCTATTTATATACGCCCCTGGTCCTCAGGGTATGGCCCACTCTTAATCCATCGTGTGATTGTTCATTCGACCTTCCATTTGTTGTATTCCTACTTCTATTCGGCCCTCCACTAAACTGGCTTTAAGGCCGATTAGGATGCTCGGCACCTAGAACGTAAGAGACGGGCGAATATAATATATATCCTGATTTTGTAAATATGTACTCGGCCTAACTGAGTCCTCTACTATTTGGCTCCCACAATTGCCCCCCAAACACCCCACTAACACTAGTTAGTCGGCGTGTTTGGTTTTGAATTTGGAAAGTCAAAATTTTGGCAGTTAACCTCATTCCAACGTGTGTCAGAACGCATACGTTTTTTTTGTCATCATTACAAGTTCCCGCCCCCACGTGTGATTCCTTCATTTAATGTGATTTAAAACTTTGTCTCTTCGAATGTATATTTCGAATATTCGAAGTTTCTGGTTCACCTTCTAGTACAACTCCTTCACTTCGCGGCCTCTGCAACTTCCTCTTGTTTCTCATTATCCTTTCTGTTTCTCGTAAGTTTTCTTCTCCTTCACTCCCAATATCATTTCCTTATTTACTTTTAGTTTTGCATAACCATTAGGCTTGTTAGGATGGCAAAAAATTTGAAAGATCTCCTTTCTGCGGATCGAGTTTCTGGCTTCCGGCGCCACTATTCCATCCCCGATGACGTCCATCTGTCGTTCGTGGCAGACATCACCACCGATATGGAGAGGACCGATGAGAGTACAATCATTTTTCCCCTCCTATCGATTGCTGAGGACGGAGTTCGTTTTCCCCTCCACCCATTTTTAAGGGCCGTCCTTCGACACTGGGGTCTAATTTCTTCCCAGCGTAACGTGAACTTTTTCTGCATCATAATGAGGATTATAGAGTTGAACCATCGTCTTAGGATTAATCTAGGTATACCTGCAGTTCGGCATTGTCATGCTTTAGCCAAGTCTACTGGCCAAGTAGGACGCTATTTTCTCAGGGCCAAGGATACCGATCATCACCTAGTGACTATGCTTGCCAGCTCTGGCAAGCTTGTTGACGACGTGATGGTCGTTGTCTGAGGTAACTGGGAATTCGGCGAGGGTGAAGATCGCCTAAATCCCGTGCCAAGGCGAAAAGGCAAACCAGGTGGCCGTATAGCTCACTCCAGTTTCTCTTATTAGCTTTCTTTCCATGTATTTACCATTTTGTTTATACAGGTAACGATTTGAAGAAAGTATTGGTTTCAACCGACGATGCTGTACTTGCGGAAATTAAAATCGCTCTACAATTCGTTTTCCGTCCAAACCTTCAGCAGCAAGGAAGGGTGGCCCACATTCTCTTACGATACGCTCCGTTTTACACAACATTTTCGGCGACAGACCACATCCCAATTCCGAGAGGTGAGGATCAGCTTACAGCCCTTATCTTCCCCAGCTTCAAAAACATAAAGGAGGTTAGTTTAGAAACCTCTGATTCGGAACACGAGGAAGAACAAGCAGCCAATCCTGTCGCCGAGGACCTGAACTAGTTGGAAGCCGAGGTAGACGAAGCTCTTAATTCGGCCTTTGAGGAAGCCAGACTCAATTCGTTCGACCCTCCGTCCACCTCAGGCCAAGGGGACGTCTCCTTCGAAGACATTTTTACAAACTTAGGGGACTTACCTGGCTCTTACCCTGATAACATGGCCGGCGAGTTACTCAACCAATTGGCCAAACAAAAAAATGCCGAGAGGATGGCTGCCCGAAAAAGGGCTGAAGCCGAGCGAAACCGACCTCCACTCCCTCCACCTGTCGTTAGGGAAGAAAATCCTCCACCTGTTCCTGTTGAAGAGGTGGTCCAGAATGAAGCGGCTGAAACGGAACCTATTGTCGATGGACAAGAGGGTCAAGTGACGGAGCACAGGGGTGAAAAGCGCCCAACCGATCACGAAGCCGTTTATTCAGAAGACCCAGTGGACAAACGGCCACGCTTGGAAGAATTGGACTTGTTTGGGCTGTTCATAGTACAACCAAGGATAAAAAACATGCCGGTTGGCTACGATGCATCAGCTATAACAGATCCAGCTGTGGCCTTGTGCCTGGCTTCCTCCATTTCTCTGTCGGCTGACAAAGCAACTTTTAGGGTAGAGGCCGATCTTCTGGCCATCGCGTTGGCCGCTCAATCGGCGATATTGGTACGTGATCCTTTATAGTTTTGCAAGGCAACCAAAAGAGTGTTTCTATATTAGCCTACTGATCCTTTGTTTTGTAGGCGGCGAGGAGGATAGCCAAAATTGGACGTCGCCAACATGACATTATCGAATAGATCGCGCTTTCTTACAGCTGAATTGGAAATCGAGAAGGGGAAGACAGCAGAGGCCTCTCTCCGAGTCGATTCTGAGGTCGCGAAAGCACCGGCAGAGAGAACGAGGGCTAATGCCGAAGCAAATAAGGCCAAGACTGCTGACGAACTGAAAGCGGCCGCCGAGGAAAGGGCAAAAATGAATGAAGAAGCGCTCAGATTGGCCAACGAGACGATTGCCAAGCTGGACGCCGACCTGGAAGAGTCAAAGCGAGCAAAGGAAACCTCGAGTCTGCACTTTTCGAGTCGTTCAAGGCTGGCAAGGATGCGGCCCTGGCGAACTACGTAGAAGAAGTGCCGAAATTCAAAAATAGAGGGTTCAAACATGACTGGCTCAAAGCCTTGGCTGCTGCTAACGTGGTATCGGAACAGCCGATTCTGTACGAGCAGGTAGACGTTGAGCCGCTGAAGTCTGAC